TGTTTTTTATTTACTGAAACGCGGCCGAATAAAATGGAAAATCGATAGGTTTCTCTGAAGTTAAATCAATTTATTTTTGTTTTAATATTCGGTATGTCGATATAATTAGCTTGAGGTGGGTGGAGGGGTAAAGAAGTCCACTAGTCTCATATCCCAAGCACAGTGTTCTTCATTTGCAAGGCCCGCGGGCCACTGAAAACACCCCTTCCCCACCCCACCCATCATCGTGATGTCAAACCCCAATGGTTTCAAATGTGTGGCGGCCCTCAAAACGCCGATGTCTTGTCGGCGAAAGTGACCCACCCTTCTGAAAATGAGTGAAGAACGCTGCTCAAGCACATCAGCTGCCGTGCACAATTACACTGGCGCCGATGGCAAGCAAAGTGCGGAGAGGCACGCGCACGAGATGAGCTCCCCCCGTGCGCGTGTGTGGCTTAGCGCAGGTGGTGGGCACATTCACGCGTCCAGGCCGCTGACGATAACAATGTGTGTGGCAAAGCGAACGTCGTGAGATGTTGTATCTCGGTCAATGTTGCGGACAGAATGTATGGCACGCTTTGGTTTTGTTACAAATGTCGGTACGATCATTGAAATCCACTATCCACCACTTTTACAATCACCATGATCAGCCATAATCTGATGATGATGATGATTTATGAAAACCTCCCCAAGCAAGCCGTGATAATACTCTGTCGCCTGAGTTGATCGCATCGCTCAATTTCCATGGTTTTAGGTGCTTCGGTCAGTGTCCGAGTTGCGTCCAAGTTGCTTCTTGAATTTTTGTGGACGTTGTGAATCTACATTTTTTATTCTTCACTTTTTTGAGCCATCACATTACTTTATTGTTGTTAAGGACAAAAAAACGAGCACTTGAGTGACGTAATAAAACGAGTAAACACTTGCTCTGGCAAGATATGACAATGCAATAGTGCTCGGTGTGCCATGTGTTTTTTATTTTCACGAAAAACCTAATAAAATGATTTACAACATTTCAGGAGATAAAATTAATCCACACTCATAGCCACAAATTGTGCAAGGGCAAGAAACGCTGCTAATAAAATGAAGTTAGCTGTTGATGCTCCGCAGATTGCATTTGACTGTTAATATCCGCACTCCCTTGACTTTCATCTTTTGTGCTCCAAATCCATGAGCAAGGACACCCCCTAAATAGATTTTGCAATTTGTAATATTTCATCAAGTGGATCATCCACGTGCATATTGCTCACAACACAACGTGAGCGCCGTGCAGAAGTATTTGCACGGATACTTCGGCAATGCTGATCAGATCGGTTAGGAGAGTTTGAGTACCCACAATGTATCCCACCAAACGTTATCTGCTACTTCACTTACTGCCATGCACACACTGACTGAGAACGTTCTTAGTGTATATTCCCTGCTGTGATAAATGGATTAGAAACACAGACAGTGTAAAAAGGAAATGAAGCAGAAGCTGAAAAGTAAACAAAGAATCGTGGAGAGGTGCATGCTTGGAATTGCACCGAGAGGAAGAAGAAGAAGACATTGAAACGAGAAGACGCACAAGTTATATACGCAATTTTGAGATTGGGGGAGGACACGTCACGAGAAGGGATTATGGCTGTTGGTCGAGACTAATGATGGAGAGGCGCCAAAGGAGACAAACCTGCCCGAGAGCACGTGAAAAGGTCGCGCTCATTACACACAAAGTGCCTGCCACAAAGTGCTTGCCACAAATGAACCACAATACCTCGCTGATTTCGTCAATGAACATAAACCATGACGCGAACTCCGGTCATCTTCGCAGCGGATTATTTTGGCTCGCCATCGAAACAAAGACGGCCACCGCGTAACGCGCTTTCAGATGCGCTTCTGCGGCCGTCTGGAACGCTCTTTTTTTCCGATATTAGGAAGCCACTGGAGCTACGCACTTTTAAATCTAGATTGAAAACTCATTTCTTTATAACTGTTTTTTTGCGTTCAGTTTGTTATCCTTCCCCTGCACGTCCGATGAGCACGGTTGATCGTGTAAGGTGCGAAAGAAGTTCAAAATACATTCATATATATGTCCACCATGGAAATATAAGTAAGTATGAAATCAACTCAGGTGCAGATGCTTACTTGATTGTTGCATCGTGAAACCACGAGAGATAATGATGGCTTGGGGAGACTTTCATCCAGCAGTGTATTGACTATGTCTGATGACAAGGATGATAGCAAGACAGGTGAGGAATTAGCCATAAAATGATGACAGGGAAGTTCTGGGTACTTGGGTTTGACTGCAAAGCATGGGGGGAAAACTTTAGTGTGGCAATTAAAATTTAAATCCATTCTGATGACATTCAGACGATAAGGACAGCAGTGGAAAATGAGCAACCCTCCATCAAGCAAAGGCTGATGCACAGATCGAAGGGAGAAATATGTTCTGCAGTAAGCCGTGTGCAAGAATGGGTAATGAAGAGGTCAGAGAGGTAGGAAAAGGAGAAGCCTGGGGGGATCTTTAAAAAACAACAGCCATCGTGTAGACTGTAGAGCATCTATGGGTAGCTTGGGAAGTAGCAGTGGAGGGTTCTGAGAATTGAGATGACGTGGTCTTCAGTGCGAGCTGTGAATGATGAAAAGGAAGGTATCGCAGCCGTAGAGGCAGATGGTTATGAATGAATGAATGAGGGCTGCTGTAGCCAGAAGATCCAGAGAATTAATAAATGTAGAATGTGTTCCTTAGATGAAGGTAAGGAGGTCTTACAGAGTTTAGAAAACACGAAGGTCTCCCTGGGGTTGAGGATAGCGGGTTCAAAGATTAAAGGAGATCAAAAGTTAGGTGCCGTCAGCATGAAGATGCTGATCAATTTTGGAGCCAAACATACTTTTGCAAGAGGCAAGAGAGGAGAGAGATAAAGGACAAATATCCAGCCTTGAGGAATATCGAGCCAAGAGAGTCAGTGGGCGATTGACCTTGCCGAGAAACAGGAGCAAATAGGTGAGTGGAACCAGGATGAGGGTGTGCTAAGAGACTCGAATTCGGCGTTTGACAATACGGAGGATAACTGTTGATCGATGGTGTCAAAGGTAAAAACCGACGATAAGTAGAATAAGTGGAGATATGGAATCATGGTGAGAAAATGAGGGGAGGTCATTGGCCGCTCGCAGCAGGGCAGTAAATACTTTGTGTACCTGGCGTGCCATGGCTGCATAGACTAAGTGGACAGTATGTTGGTCATTGTGCAAATTTGCATGGATGTGATTATTGTTATTGTTGTTTATTGCCAGTGCTTTATAATGAAAAAATCACAAATTATTCACTCTGGCATAATTGATCTCCTAGCAAATTCATAATGTTGTCCTTTGATCAGCCGCTGCTGGTTGGAAGGCTTCTTCTATGCCATGACAATTGAGGCGGAATTGTTTGACGCTGCTTCGCCTTGCTGATAAGTGCTTGTTGGTGAAGGCTGAGAGAGGGTACGGGACCAGTTCGGATATAATTCGCCGTTGATGTTAGCCGTAGCCGGGAATTTAATTCAGGTTGGCGGGTTAATGACTCCTCGGTACGCTTTGCGAACGCTACTTCCCCATAAATGCTCCCTCTGTAAAGAAAACATAATAATGTTGTGCAATTACCTTTCCTAGGCATCCCTTGCAAATGACAATTAACATCAACGGGCTCGCGCACTTAGTTAATTACGTATTCGTACGTCAAAACTGGAAACCGTGAACTTGGAGTGTGATGGGCAAAAGGGTCTTCTAAAAAGCAGTATACTGATACGCCTGACGAAAGCAACGATGCATCTTAACGGGCTCTCGCCTGCTGTAAAAAAAACCCGATGCTGTCACTCATATTAGTTTCGTGAATGTTGAGACTGAAGGACTTATCAAAGACCCACACAAACACTAAGTTCTTCCGCACAAAGCTGATCATGAATCCCAGCGAACTGCTTGCTCCTCAAATGACACCGCATTATACTGTGATCTATTATATATATTTTTTTTTGGTGTGCCCAAGAGCGCTTGAAAGAAACTTGAATTTTGAAACTTAGCAGATCAAGGTGGAGGGACGGACATAGAAGGAGGGGACGGGAGGTGTCGAGAGCTGGGGTGGATGTGAGGTTGAGTTCGAATCGCGAGAGGAAGAGAGAGAGAGGAGAGAGAGCGGTGGGGGGGGGGGAGAGAACGAGCTCGTGCATAGTGGGAGAGAGAGAGGAGGAGAGTGGAGTGGGAGGGAGGGATTGTGAGACGCGAGTGCTACTCCTCTGTGTGAGCCGGGCACACCGCATGTGACGCACGGATTCGGGCTCCCGTGAAGCTGCCGAGCCGCAGTTCGCACGGCGCACACCGGGACCGATCTCCTGCGCGCCAACCCACTTCAGAGACGGCGGAGCGCGCATCCTCCTCCTGCTACATTGTTTGTGTGTGCGGTACACGCACGTGCGTGTGTGTGGAGTACACGTGCGTGTGTGTGGTGTACACGCACGTGTGTGTGTGTGCGCGCCGTGTGTCTACTATATTGCGCGCACGTGTGTGTGTGTATATATAAACGGATACAGGAGGCACTTCGCGCGCTTTGCGTAATTCGGTTAAAAGAACAAACGAGGCAAACGACGCACAAATTGACTGTGAACGCGCACGGCAAAAAAAGACTAATTCGGATTTACGCAACGTGCTACAGTCGAATACAACGATTGTACTCTACTCTCAACAATCACCCGACGACTCAACGGTTACCGTTATAGCAGATGTACAATAGAGCGAGAGCAGAGAGAGAGAGAGAGAAAAGTATCAGGCAATAAAATAAGTAACCGGTTAAATAAACCCCCGCATCGACAGCGGAGCGTGGAAGTTGAACGCGCGCGTCGGGAAGAAACGGGGGGAGGAGGGTCTGTGCTTTGCATTCGTCCGCTACGCTCTCGGGGGATCGAATGCACGAGCGCCTCTGTGCCTCGTTGCATTCATAGACAGCGGCGACGGCGAGGAGAGCACACGACGCTCGAAACACACAACGGACACACAGACGCACACAGAGACGCACGCACACACACACGCGCGCTCTCGCTATCTACACACGCGCAACGCACGCGCGCGCGCGCGCCGCCTTCACGATCGGCGCGCTCCCAGCCACGTCTCGCCCCGGCGAGCGCAAAAAAGGAACTTCCATCTTTATCGTTTGAGAAAACAACAACAACAACACCACCGGCGGGGTTGAAAGCAAACAAGCAACTGCTTTACCGCAACCACCTCGATCAGAAGCAGCAGTATCAACACCAGCAGCAGCAGCAGCGGCACCATCATCTACCACCATCATCATCATGATGGAGAGCGCGCATCAATCGCTGCTGCTGTCCACGGCCAACGCCAACCACACCACGGCGCCGCAGGCTCCAGCGCCGCCCCCGCTGCCCTCTCTGCCACCGCAGATGCCCGCGCACCACCCTCCCGTCGCAGCCGCGGCTGCCCCGGCGATCGAGAGCGGCGAGCGTCCTCCTCTGCCCTCGCAGCCAGCGCGCCGACCCAGGTGCCCAAGCAGCAGTCGAGGTACAAGCGCAGGGATGGTGGGGGCAGGGGGAGGCTGCCCGGCCAGGGCAAGCCGGTTTCCTGCCTTGGCTGGGATGGTATTCATGTTGGGGTTCGATGTGGAGATGTCGTTGTGGGTTGAAGGTTGAGGAAGAGGAGGGGGCCATGGGGTTGGTGGGGCAGCCCACGCGCGCGCCGGTCGGTCAGCACTCCCAGGTGTCCAAGTAGCAGTGGAGATGGATCCCGGGACGTTGTGGTGGTGGTGGAGGACTGTGGGGGAGGCTGGCAGGGTATGAATGTTGGAGTTCGGGTAAGGGACGGGGTGGGGGTTGGAGGTGGAGGAAGGACGGCATGAGGTTGGTCGTACAATAGGGTAGTTAAGGTCAGCAGAACGATGGTTGGTTAGGTCGTATGGCATGTAGAAGTAGAGGAGATGGAATGATTCCCTTCATGTTTGCGGACGGCCTCGTGTGGAGTTGCGTGTGTGTGTGTGAATAGCTGGAGTTGTTGTTGAGCCCATATTAATTATGACGGCTCACATTTTTGTATTTTTTTTAAATTATGTAACGGCGATGCCCAACTTAGCGAAAATCTCTCCAAACTCTGTGCATCTGTGTATTTGAGACGTGGCTCGGCTAAATACGCAAAATCAAGAATGTGTGCCTGTTGTAATTAAACTGTTACATTTTAAAGAAAAGCAGCTCAGACGAGCCTGGCAATTTGCTCATACAGTGAGGATATGTTTAGACAAGTGCCTTATACAGTATAATTTGTGTCCGCATTAATATGTATTCGTGCTTTAATATTTCAAAATATGTGTTTATATGCATTTAGCATAAGTGTGTATTTAATGGCCACAGACTTAAATCTACACATGTGTCCTGTACACACAAGCTAATACGCACGTGTAAGAGTGTATGACCGTGTACATGACATATACGAAATACAATTATACTCTTTGGTTCTTTCGGTAAAGTCACAATTCTTACATTTCCCTTTGCTATTTGCTTCCAGATCTACCTCGGTTTAAACGAGTCATCTCAATGTTTCTGTCGGCTACTTATAGTGAGAAAATAGACTTGACAGAGCATTGTGTGTGTGTGTGTCTATGAATGTGTGCCACTGTGCATTACCATCACCATAGGATACAGTGAACAGCTTCAATCAGTCGGGGTGGACACGCCAGGATGTATAAGGTCCATCATTAGGGTCGTCTCATCTCAGCTGTGTCTCTGCAAACCACATTTGTGTTGTGCACAATGTAATGTGACTGTACTATCCACTGTTGGATGAAGACATCTCCAATCCCTCTCGGTAGTGAGTGTTGCTGGACCAGACTTCACCACGCTGGTCAGTGTGATTTCAAAACAACAGACGGAAATATGTAAAAAAAAGAATACAGCCTCTGTGCATATGCAACCAAAAAAAAAGCCAGAATTTCCTAAAGAAGTGCACTGTGATTCTCTTAGCTTAGATCACCATTGAAATACACTTGAGCAAACGTGACCGGCTGACAACGGCAGTGATGCAGTGATGGATAAATGTGGACCGGTTTCATCTTCATTTGGGACTCATTATCACAGCAGAGTCAACCAAAACTCACGGCTGCACAGCCTGCCTCTGGGAGCTATGAATTGTATATGGAGCCTTCAACATCCACACTACGGGACCGATTAGCTTGGATAATGCCAACAATAATCACATCTGTAAATGAAGATAAAACGGCGTTCATAGTGCAGGCTGGAAATTTACAAGTTTCAAACACCGCACAGAAATGTGTAAATTGGCACATTTTGACGATGATCTAAGGCAACAGAGCCACATTGCACTTCTTCAAGAAATGTTGATTAATTTTTTGCAACAAAAATTGCACAGAAGCTGTGCACTTTTTTTTTTTGCTTCCTTGAACCCGATGATTTTCCAGCCTGCACAATTCTGTAACGATGAGTTTTTCTCGTCGTGAACAGATTTGATTGTCAGTGTGGGTTGGGGAAAAGTCGGGGGGGAGGGGAGAGGGGGGGTGTAACGAGGGAGGGAGGGAGGGAGGGGGTGCTTTTGGGCGATAGAGGACAGGTTGAGATATCACTCCGCCACTGATGTTTAGCCACCCGTCGGGAATCGAACTCAGGCTCAGAGCGCAGGGTGTGCGCGTGCACACCGAGTAGGCCACGCACATCAAAGACTCAACGTTGGCTGTAAAGCATACGACCGGCAATAACCCCCCCGAAGAGCATCGCAAGAGAAGCAGCAGCAGCAGCAAGGAAAAGAGCAATGCTTTTGCAAGCTGCACCCCACAGGCCAACGGTGACTGCAAATCCCAGCCTTTCCAAAATAACTCAACTGTATATGTTACATAACATCACTGTCCTGTTTGGGGAATAGCGCTTTGGTCTACACGCATGGAAACTGAACTTCCTACAGTCTCTGTTAAGGCAGACACACCCCGACTTGATGCCTGCATAATCCCCCCCCCCTCCCTTGCCTCTATGTTTCTGTGGCTATGATGTTTGTGTGTGTGTGTGTGCATTTTTATGGGGAGCGTTGGTGTAGCGGTTAGCGCGCTGCGCTACAAACCCGGTGACCCGAGTTCGATTTCCGCTCACAGCCGACACCAGTGACAATTATCTGAACCGGTCCTGGGCCTCCCTTAGGTCGACTCAGCCTAAAATGAGTAGCTAGTGGGATATGTAAAAACGTTGCCACTAGGGAGACAAAGGCGGTCGGGCGTAGTGCTGGCCACCCACCCCCTCGAGTACCGTGCCGGCCTCCATAGGTGCTCGCTAATAGCACTTGCCCCAACGGTCTGTTAAGGCTGTGTGTGTTTATGTGTTAAAGCGCTCTCTGCAAACACATATCCATCCAGTATTAACCAAAGTGCTGCTTTGAACACAAGCAGAGAAACTGAATGACAACCATACACATGAGATCCTTGACGATAGTTCGGGGTTCTTGTTGGGGGACTCAGAGCATCTCATGGATAGGAATATATGCACCCCCACCGACCAGAAGAAAGACTTATCACTGCTCTACATGTCGTCTTAGATAGACTGTGCATGTACCTGGCTCTAAGGCGTTGATACTTCACACGGTGCATTCATAGAGGTTTCTTCACATTTTACGCACGAATCCTGAATACTTTTTTTTTTAAACCCCATTCTGCGTTCCCCTCCCACCGTCAGCCAGCACGCCACCAAACCCTCCAAATCTCTTCTCGGAGGCAAGTACATGCAAGAATTCTCAGATAATGTGGAAATCCGCAGACTGAATATAGCGTATTCATTACAGTGCCGCCACCGTCATTGTTATGTAAAGGAGAGGGCGATGCAAGTTGGAGCTGGTGTGAGTGTTATCATCCTGCGCGTGAGAAGAGCGCCCCGTAGCGAGGTGCCTCTGGTTTGCCAGACGAAGACCGATACAAAGGTTTGGTTTGGGGAGGGGGGGGGGCAGTATTGGAGGGAGGGGGGTGGTAGCGCTATAAAAATAATAATACAGAAATTTAACCGGTCATATAAGCAACATGCAGTGTAACAATAATAATAATAATTTCCATAAACATATGCGTGACTGCCTACGGGTGCTGTAATCACTGCTCAGCACGGAATTTGGTGCCACAGTTCGAATAGGCCGAGCCAAACGGCCCCTGCGCTAAAGAAATAATTATCGGGTCGGTGCTAAGGCTTGCTTTAAAAAAACAAAAAAAAATCTTATTTAATTTATGAAATACCGAGCGAGCGAGCGAGAGCGTAGCGCCGCTCTCTCCGCGGCAATTGGCCGGGATGCGCTCTGGCCGACTCGTGTGCCCAGAGCTGTTCTGCCTGCTTAAGTTTCAAATCACATTTCAGGGCCTGAGTTGACAGTTACATATAGGAGTAGAGGCTGAGAAGGCTGTCCTTCCTTTGTAAATAATAGCACCGGTTTATAAAACGAGAGAGGGAGAAAAAGAGAAAATAAGTATATATCTCCGGCAATATACGGTCCTTCTTCGGAGACGAGAAACAGGCGGGGATGCCTCCTTATTCGAGATATTTCTGTGCACATATGAAACCAGCTGTCGAGGGGCAGATATAATTTGACCGCTGCTGCATTTTCACGTTTTTAGCCGTTCTTGTGCTGGCTCTGTCTCTTCCGATGTCAATGTGCCCAGATGGTAGCGCAAGATGGGCAGAACATGACCTACTGATCCATAAGCAGTCCATCATTCCTGTTTTGCCTGAGCCATGATGGACCCAGAGCCCACTTTGTAGAGGCTTGCCATTCACCCATGACGTCCTTTGCTGTGACATGCGGTTATTATTGGTACGTTTCCAAATCTGAGATCATCGTCCCTGAAGACATGCTTGCAAAAGCTGAAACTCGTGGTTGCAGAGTAAAAAAACAAAATCTAAAAATCACGAGACCGTTGATACTAATGTTTGTACGTTTACATAGACTCAAAAAAATTGCATTATTGCCATGTGTAGACCAAACTAACGGGAAAAAAAATACTGTAACACGGCTGATTTTCTTCTTCTTCTTCAATTTGTATTATTTACTCAGTAAAAGTCTCGTGGAATATTATGATTTTTTTTCGGTAGGATCCTGCTCAAGACGTTTCGCAATGCCCCTCTCGGGAATGTTTTTTTGCGCACGTGGGAGGGAACCAGAGTACCTGGAGAAAACCACGATGTTTGACTCGGACGAGCGAGCCGAGTTGGAAAGCACACTCAATCCTTTCCCACGCACACGCACATTGATCGTGTTGCAAGGGATGGAGACGCCGTCGAAGGGAGAAAATGAGCAGAACCCTCCTCGCTTTGCAGTACAACCTCGAGCGAAACTTTTTTTTTACGAGCCACGGCGAAACGGTGCGCATGTGTGCAATATTCCGGTTGTTGTTTTTCATGTTTGTATACACACACACACAGATAGAGTGTAATAATATCTTGAACAAGCTCACTGCGCGTCTGCAGACAAGCAATTATTGCAGGAGTGCAACAGCCAGTCTGGCACATTTGCCCAAAGTAGTGCTCATTCCTTTGACT